CATGCTACTAGATATGTACTTCAAGCGAACATTGCCGAATGTCTATCGTGGTGGGGTTTACGTGATTAAGCCATGAGCCCTCAGTCCGAACTTTGAGTTAGCGTTTCCTAACTCTCCGTTCGAATTTATCCCTAACAAATTTGACTAATATAATATTTAAGGCCCACACGTATTGTCACTAAGGGGACCTATAAGACGATGTTTAGTCGCTGGGCAAAGCTTCAATTAAGGTCTTTCAAGGTATGGAACGTTTTTTCAAAAACGCTTCTCTACCACTTATTGGAGCTCATGGGTAAGTTTCAAAACCGAGGTTCATTTTCGCTGAGCGGCCCCGCGAAGGCCAAAAAAGGTGAGGAAATGGTCCAAGGTTCAATCCCTCGTGATGACAAAATTTTTGCATTTAGGTTGGAGCTCTCAAACGCTCCAAATAGCGTCAGCACCAACAGTACGTGTAGCCTTGGAGTTCGATTTCTACGAGATCCGATAAACACCACCCACTCCTCGCAATTTTTTTTCTACTATACTTTTTTGGCTTTCAGGGGGGGGGGGAGTTCAGGGCAAATGAACATCAGTTTTGCAGCTCACGTGATAGCCCCTCAGCATGAAAAACTGTTTGAAAAAGAGCTCTGCATCTGGGGGACCTCTCTTGTTAGGAGAAGGAGTGTGAAAGAAGTAAATGTGAGCAAGCAGAATAATGTAATAGTTAATCGAGACTGAAAGTTGGCTACTTGCTCCCCTGAAAATATCACTTCTGCTTGCAAACTTATATTCTAGTGCTGTTTTGTCTTACGCAGTAATTCTTTGTCCTCTTGTTATCAGTCAATATTTATGTGGCGCTTGATTCTGAAAAAGCGATAAGGTATTAATCCTATTATTTCCCACTGGTTTCGTTCGGCGCCCTAACGTTGCATCATACAGCGTTCCAGCTATTTTGAACAAGAAAATCAAAACTTGCAATTTTGATACATGCGCCTCTTTGCACGTCTCGCCCACCACAAAATTAAATTTTTTTTCTTTGCTAGTTACTATCCACTTTTCCCGGGCCTCACAAGGGAGGTCGTTCAGGGTGTGGGAAGCTTTTTCAAAACGGTTTTTTGCATGCTGTAGGGGCTCTCACGTAGACCACAATACTGCGTTTCGTTTTCGCTGAGCGGCCCCCTGAAGGCCAAAAAATGGTCGAAAAAAATTCGTTAAGAAGGGGTGGTTTTTGCTGCCTTGGAGTGAAGTTTCGGACCTTGTACAAACGACCACCTGCATTTTGAAGGGCGCCGATGAAGATAATATCGAAAACAACTCGAAATTCGCTCAAAATTGAAGCACTGTACGTGGTACTGCTGAAGAAAGTGTAGAGGTTTCATAGGCGTCGTCGGCACCCTACACATCGCAGCGCATTAGTGCCTGTAGCATCCGCCAGGCGTTTTCGTGTTAAATGAGGATGATATTCGTGTTCAGGGAGTCGAATTACCCTAGGGGACAAAATTCTGGCGAAATCGAGGTTTTGACCTCATCATCGAAAAAGGCGTATGGCCATGGGTACGCTGGAACCAAGATACGTAGTCCTGTGAGCGGCTTGTAAATAGCCCTGCGTCTAGCTGACGATCCATGTAAGAACTTGGAATTTACTCGGAAGAAAGGTTATCATTGTCTGGGAAGGAGGACGAGAAGTTATCCTTGAAATGGTCATTCAGAATAAGTGAGGTGCTGTGTAACCAACGGTTGCCCAACTATTTCGAAGTTAGGTCAAAACCTCGATTTTTCCTGAAATTTGGCATGTGGGGTAGATCAGGGTCCTGAACACGATTATGGCGTTCGTTTTTGACGTCGGCGCCATTTGGCGCCAGTTTGGCGCTGCGAACTTTTTCCGCCAATTTTTGGTAGAAAACCCATTTGCAAGGGCTACTGACGGTCCTGAATGAGAATATAGCGTTAATTTTGACGCTGAAGCAATTTGGCGCCAATTTGGAGGTGATTATCAAAAATGCAAAAGTTGGCCCAGGAGCGGACTCGATCCACAAAGTCGTGCCAACCCCAGTCCACCACGCTATCCACTCGGCCACCTGCTCGCTGCGATGTGTATGGTGCCGACGACGCCTATGAAACCTCTACACTTTCTTCAGCAGTACCACGTACAGTGCTTCAATTTTGAGCGAATTTCGAGTTGTTTTCGATATTATCTTCATCGGCGCCCTTCAAAATGCAGGTGGTCGTTTGTACAGGTCCGAAACTTCACTCCAAGGCAGCAAAAACCACCCCTTCTTAACGAATTTTTTCGACCATTTTTTGGCCTTCAGGGGGCCGCTCAGCGAAAATGAAACACAGTATTGTGGTCTACGTGAGAGCCCTACAGCATGCAAAAAACCGTTTTGAAAAAGCTTCCCACACCCTGAACGACCTCCCTTGTCAGTCACTTTTCGAACCATCTTGCTGATTTTGAATTTTGGCTCCGCCCACATCTGTAAATGTCTGACTCAAAGTGTTCGAAGTGCCCGATCCCTCTTAGTTCCCTGATCTCTACATCTTTTACCACGTTTCTTTCGTCCTTCGCCTCACCCAAGATTGCCCCATCTCTGGGTTATTTTCAAAATAATACTGAATTTTGTGACAAACTCACACAGAACGACTTACAGACAGCATTTCGTATACGAGGAATGATAGAAAATCCATTTCCTCTTAAACATTCTGTAGTGACTCATGCAAACATTGCAGTGTCTTATTTTACAATTTAATATCTCATTTCAGCAAAAATGTATTTTTTGTAGGTTTCCTATAAAGAAAAGTTTTGTATGTGATCATTTTTCATCGCTAGGCAGTGCGTAATCGAAACTGTGATTCACTACACACACGGATGCAAGGCTTTCGATAAACGAAAGAACCACCCACAGGGCCATTTGACGCCAACGACCAGACAATCATTGATAGAAAAACCTCTCAAGTCAATGATTGTCGTTTTTTTATTCGAATATATAATATATGAATGTTCTTCAATGCTGAATCTTTGCGAAGGTTTTTTGAACCCCATATTCCCTTAGTTTTTTTTATGATAAAAGCTGTCACGGAGGAATAAAATATTTGGCACTCAACGTCCATAAATTCTTTCTGTGTTACGCCACGCACCCTACTTTCGCCTTGGATTTGTGGTGGCATTTTGAATGTGATCCTATAAAATGACTCGCAGCGGTCAACTGATATACGAATAAGTCTTTATCCTTCTTGGAAAGTCTGGTACCGAATAAAGAATCCGGAGAATCGAAAGCTCGGATGGTGTCAGTGGCGTACGATCCCGGCTTCAACTGTCTTACCGTGTTCTGGTATACGCCACTTGCCACTACACCACTTCCGTCTGGAAATTAGAAAATACATTCCGCCATAGCCACTCAAAGCGTTTCACAATGTTTGCAGTTTCCAATTGAAGATTGCGCGGCGCAAGGAACACATTGAAGAAAATTGCATATTTTTTAATTTTTTTTCGAAGTTTTCACTTCGCCGGGAAGACACCCTAGGACCAATTTCGTTTGAGTATGATAAAGTGCGACTTACTGCGTACTTTGGTTACGACTCCAATCAACTTGTCAAGCTTCATATTTTATGTTCAAACTGGGTCTCATCTATAAATTCGAGAACTTTCTTTTATTTACCAACATAATGTCTTCAAAGGTGATTTCTGCTGTGTGTTTCTAGATGGTTGTTTATGAATCCAAGCCGAATCTATGGAGAGATGTTGAGTTCTGTGTATAACTCACATAAAAGAAAATTGTTGGGCTATTGCTATCGGAAAGCACAACGGGCGTCTAATTGACAGCGTTTCCTATAGGGAAGAGGTGAAACAGATCCCTTCTTTTTTGACCCCTCCTTTAGCAGCTGCATCAGCCTACTTTTCTTTATATTCAGCTTCATTAGAGAGTATATACTTGGTTCTATGTTTACCTTGTCGCTTATGGGTTGAAACCTAAACCTCTGTCTTGGTTCCTATGAGCAGTTGATGTGGATGCATGCGGTCGAGCACATGGGGCATAAGCGCAAAAACGTTTTGTTGTGGCTGTGTCACGGTCGATTGTGATTGGAGCGCGGTCATTGTGCGCAAGCCATTATTGGATGGCGTGAAACTTCATATAAATGTGGACTAACTCCTATTTAATTCACTCAAGCAGAGCAAAACTTTATTATATAAGGTTTCTTCGTAACGGTCAAGTTTGCAACTCCAAGTGGGCATTGAAAATTACTATTTCATCAGATATTCCAATCCGATTCGGCTTCGTAGAACTTTGTGTCACACTCGAGTCAGTCTTTATGTCGTGGAAATTTTAGCCAATGCTTCGAACTCTCCATGAACACTAATCTCTCCGCAACATTCCGATTAATGGTATAGGTGTCGGTAGTATAGTTCCCTGGAACCATGCGACACACTCCCAGCCCAACAACCCCCCCCCCCCTAATCGCTAAAATTGTCGGGCGTGAAAGTGGGAAAATGTATCTGCTGAGCCAGAAGATTTTATGCAACCTGTGACCCCCTTCCTCCCACCAGTGCTGATACGGCACTTTGTCCTTTGTACTTGTACTTTGTGGAATCCTCGACCATGTCTCACAAAGGCGAACCACAATCGAGGATTCGTCGACGGAGTGTCGTAGATGGGGACACTCCGCGACATGGGGGAAAATGATGTAATGGGTCAAATGTGCAATTCGCTATTTCAGCAATCACATACATCCACATGACCCCTACCCTCCCCCGTCCCTTGCCGACGACTCGACGGTGACTAGGGACATCAAAGCTGCATAATGCATGAATCCATCACCATCAAATTCAAGGAGATTGCACCTGGACCTTCGTTAGACGGGGATAAGGGGGGGGGGGGTTACTGCCACGGCCATTTCCTTGACGCGACAAACACCTTGCTGTTCACTGTTCACATTGAATTGATTCCGTTATTACAGCGCTAACGCTGACGTATGCATTTTTCAGATGTGTTTCATGATCTCAGATCAATGCTCCTGATTGTGTCATGAATGTGAGTTTACTGCCTCCAGCGAGTAGACTTTCCAACCTTCTTCTGTCCTTGTTGACGGCCATAACGACATTCACGACGACGTTGTGTTGTGGAGCAGCATGCGAACGGTTTCACTGCAGTTCAGGTAAACTCTTTAAGAATCGTGATTGACTGAACATGATTTTCTTCACGAAACTTCAGAAGACAGAAAACAACTGACTCATTGAATCTTGGTAGAGCAACATATTAGTGAATTTGTGTATAAAATGCTTCACTGCGGTTTTAAAGAATTCAAGGTAAAGTTGTCACCTGATCTTAGAGTTAAATACTACAGAAATAGTCATGTAGCGGTGTCTTGGGGGCAGGATGAAAATCGTGTTGAAGATGTGGTCGCAAGAGTACGACCCCTCCCCTGAAATCGAGGTCTTGGCACGACCCCCCAAAACAGAGCATACGCAAAATCAGCCGAGTGTATCGATCAACGGCCGATTCAACGGCAGCTGCGGCGCGATTTGTCCCTGGGTCAGATTTGCTGAAATCCCAAAAAAAAACCGTCGAAATCTACACCCTCGATGAAAAGGTTCCATTCCTCCATTTCCCAACCTTTTGAACAGCACGCGGTAGGGTTAGATAGAGCTAGATTTGCTACTATCAGGCAGTATTGAATTGCTATGAAAGCCTTCCATTCGAAGAGATATAGTCTCTCAAAATCCGTCGAGGGAGCGTCGAGGATGCTGAAATTTTCATGCGAGTTTTTGCCACTTAAAAGGCAATATCTCTCTAATTTCGCAAGATCTTGAAAAAACGAAGACAGTTTTGGAAAGCGGAAGGTTTGCGCTTCCTAACAGTATGTTTAGCTTCCTTCTACATTGTTTAGTTGAGGAGATATTTGCGTCGAGGATCTATCGAAGGATGATTCTCGGCCGCTCAAAAAGCCGCTCCCTTCTTCACCATTGCAAGTGTAATTGTTGGCAACGCTCGAAATGTGTCTAGAAAACATTCTCCAACATAAGCAATAGGAAAAGGGGCAATCGTCATCATCGATTTTGTCTGAGTATAGGCCATGCATCCGACCTCACTCGAAGTTGCAGAATCGATTCGAAGGTGTTATATGATCATGACCAGTTGACAGAAGCTGCATTGTAGTAAACACATTTCGTAACTCCTACAACCTAAAGAACAACTTCATTTGCCCAGGGCTTTTCCTTCACGGTTGTCGTTTTTGCGACAGGGTCCCTAACAACAGTGTCATTCTCAGCGAGGTATTAAGGGAGAAGGAGCGAGCGATAGGCAGAGGAGGTGCCTTTGCAGCGCGTGCACATGTGGCACCCTTCTTTGCGGGATGCACTTTCATTCTTTGTACTGCTTTCAAATACGTCCTTCTCATAAAGGTAGAGGAATGGAGCGACTGAACCTGCAAAGAATATTTTATATGTTTTTTTCTCACATCCTTCGTTTTCTGCTGCGCTACACCCTCACTCCTATCTGCACCACGTGTCACTGACCCCGCGAGTACAACCCCCCATGACCCAGTCCGACAAGTACGACCCCCTTGTCGAGGATTCTTCCACCGATATTCACCCTGCTTGGGTGTCGTATTTGTGATCCCCATGTGTGGTATAGAGGCTCCCACTGGAGTTTATTTGCGCTTATCGAATTCCCGTGCTCTGATCCACATCTTCCGTTTAGAGTTTCTGGAGCAATTCTGAATTCCTTCACACTATATGAGGTAGTTGAAAACTTCTGAATGTCTCGAAATAACCTCCGTTGAAGATGGTTTCCGATGTTCTTTGTTAGATATTTTTCATAAATCTTTCGAATAGAAGCTCACATAAGTATGGTAACTCTAGTAGTACTGTAACAGAAATTTAGCAAGTCATACTTAGCTTAAGTTCGTTGCCAATCAAATTTCATCCGCAATCGGTTGATTTATTGGAAACCATCACGGTCACGCTTAAAGATCCTCATCTTTTCAGACGTGTTCCCTCCACGAATCGTTGATCCTTACCTTCGTCAGAGTGCTACGTTCAATTCGCCATGCTCATGCCTTCCCGATTGGAATTCAATGTTCTGCAATTACACGCAAACTGTTGCCACTGCACCAGGGCTTATTCTTCCGGTCATGCCAACGATATGTGTATGCAGGTCTGTCATGTTCGGGCATAGGTCACGTCGATGAATTATTGCAGGATTTATTTATTTATTTTTCAGAAAATTTGACGACAATGGAAATAAATGTCAGCAATTTATCATTAGGTGCTTCAATCGAAAAAATAAGAAGTGGGTCCAGTTTTTTTTGTTATATCTGAGAGAGCTGAAAAGAAATTTAGTAGTGTGGATGTAGCAGCTATATCGGAAGAGCCAGGTTTTCAAAATTCAAGTAAAG